GCCGGGTGGCCGGGCGGCAGCGCGGCCAAGCGTCCGGCCAGCGCCGCGGCCGCCCGGGCGCGGGCAGGGCCGGGCAGCGGGGACTCACCCGGCGCCGTTTCGGGGCCGCTGGCGGCGGTTTGGGGGCTGCCGAGGATGCGCAGGGCGCGGGCGGCGCTGGTCAGGCACCCCGGGGTGCTGCAGGTGGAGGTGAGCGAGATCAGCAGCGGCGCGGCGCCTGAGGGGTTAATCGGGGGTTAACGGGGGTTTTTTGTTTGTTTTTTTGGGGGGGAAACGGGAAAAAGTTGGGCTCGAATCGCCATGAAATTGTGGCAAATCACCCGCAGATCCCCTGGGAATTTTATTCAAGTTTGCTCTCAAATTCGTCCAAATGTTACTAAAATTTCTCTAAAATTTTCCTTAAATCACCCCAAAATTTCTCTAAAATTTTCCTCGAATCATCACCGAATTTCTCTAAAATTTTTCTCAAATGATCACCAAATGTGTCTGAAATTTTCACAAATCACTCCCAAATGTCTCTAAATTTTTCCTCAGATCACCACCAAATGTCTCTAAAATTTTTCTCAAATCACTCCCAAATGTCTCTAAATTTTTCCTCAGATCACCCCCAAATTTCTCTAAAATTTTCCTCAAATCACTCCCAAATTTCTCCCGAATTTCTCTTAAAATTTTCCTCACATCACCCCAAATTTCCCTCAAATCAACCCCAAATTCTCCCTAATTTCCCCTAAATCACCCCCAAATTCCTCTAATATTTTCCTCAAATCACCTCCAAATTTCCCCCAAATCACCCCCTAATTTCCCTCAAATTTCTCTAAAATTTCCCTCAAATCACCCCCAAATTTCCTCCGAAATCCCCAAAATCCCTGAACTTTCCCAAAAACATCACCAAATTCCCCCTGAAATTCCCCAAAATCCCAGAATTTCGCAAATTTCACCCACAATCTCCCCAAATACCCCAATTTCCCCCAATTATTTCCCAAAATCCCTCCAATTTTCCCCCAAAATCCCGCCAAAAATCCCCAATTTTTCCCCCAAAATTTCCCAAATCCCCACATTTTCCCCAGAATTCCCTCACCGGCGTCCAGCACGTCGCGGGCTCCGTCTGGCTCCAGGGCCAGGTTGGCCAAAGTCCGAGCGGCGCGGTTCCGGACGCTCTCGGGGGCAGCGCTCAGCGCCAGGATGGACACTGCCGACAGGGCTCAGTCCCCACCATTTCCCACATTCCCAACATTTCCCCTCATTCCCAGCCCTTTTCCCTCATTCCTGATATTTTTTCCACATTCCCGCCACTTTTCCCCTCATTCTCAGCACTTTCCCCCTCACAAACAGCGCGTTTCCCACTTTTCCCTCATTCCTGGTATTTTCTCTTCATTTCTGACCCTTTTCCCCACATTCTCGGCACTTTTCCCCTCACAAAAAGCATTTTTCCCTCATTCCCGACATGTTTCTCCTCATTCCTGACCCTTTTTACCTCATTCTGGACACTTTTTCCCTCACATTTAGCACATTCTCTCTCACATTTCCCCCTTTCCCCCTCACATTTACCACTTTCCCCCTCACATTTCACCCTTTCCCCTCACGTTTCCCCTCACATTTACCACTTTCCCCCTCACATTTCCC